TTCCTCAAGTTCCCCATCAATCCCAGCATCGTTTCTCTCTCATACTAGGGTTTAACACTCACCCTCGCACCCCCAACAATGGACCGAAAAACCTAAACCTAATTTCGCTTACTAGGGTTCCACCAACCACCATGGGCAAGTGGCAGTCCCTCCTCTAATCAATTTCCATCAGTACAAGTTGGTTTTATAAGGTTTAGTTAGGCCCAAACCCATTTTCTAATACTAGGCACAGCACCCCTGATGTTGGAAGTTTAAAACCAAAGCTTCCCAAGTGAGCAGTAGCTTTTTTTGAGAACTTATAAGGGGTTCGTGTCGAATTATATTTAGCATTGATGTTGAAACAATTCCAGGAGGATCTACAAGAAGTGAATCTCATATAATGATATAAAAGATTCTTATAGCCTACAAATTTGAGCTATTCCCTACAAAAATCCTAAAGGATGTATCAAGTATAAAAAATGCAGACATTTCCATAAAATCAATATACATCTAAAGCAGGACAAAAAAAGGAAATCAAAAGAAAATACATTACACAAACCTCATGCTGTTTAAGAAGTTCTAAGATTGCGAGGACTATATCATTAACATAGCAAAATCCAGAAGCCTCACACTTCTTGGCATGATGCAACCCACCAGCCCAGTTGACAGCAATATCACATTGGTCATGATTTAACTTGACAGCACCCCCAACTGAACCCCCAGCATAAGTTTGGCAGAAAGAGTAGAGGCCATCAAAAACAGGACAATCTTCACCAACATTAAAGCGTTTGAGTTGCCTCAGATGATCCTGCTGTGTTTCAGGAGTTATGCTCCGAAGGAATGCAACATAATCATCAGCGTGAAAACGACAAAGGTCCCTGTCTCTAGCAGGAAATGGCTTATGGACTTGCATGTGCTGAAGCAGTCCATAATGGGCTAGAAGAGCATGTGTCATCCGTATACGATGTGGCTTCATTGGGTGACCTTGCCCATAATAGTAATTCCCAACCTCTGGATCATAGAAATAGCACACCTTTCTCTTCACCCCGTCAGGTGCAGATGGTAAAGAATTGCCGCCGGTATCCATGTGTGTTGTTTGCCGTTATTATTCTTCTTGTCAATATTAAATCATCCTAACAAAATTCCCCTGAAAGGGAAAGAAGCCAAAGGGACTATTAAAAAACCAGAGTGAAACAGCTCAACTCAAAAGTATTGACGAAAAGAAGAGAGATACACGAAGGTTATATAAATGACCGCGATAGGTAATCACAAAATTAAATTCAAAAATAAAAGTAAGAATTGGGTTGGTTATGGTTTGGTAACTCTTATACCTGACAGCATATGCACAAACTAAATACAAACCCTAATAAACTCAGTACAAAACCTATCGGTCAATGTATAGACCAACAAAAAAAGCAGAAGCGCGACGGAAAAGATGAATCAAAATCATAGATTGCTATATTACACAGAATAAATGAGAGAACGGATATAAAACATAATAGTAATTGATTCCATAATTTCATTGTAAAAAAGGATAGAGCTTATATACTCTTCGATTTGAGCCTTATCTCTTCTCTAGTGATGTTTGCAGAGTCCCCTGCATAGCATTAGCATAGCACTCGGTCGACCAACCTAACGATGACTGACGATGAGAGAAGCACCTCCGGCATTCCAGCTAAAACTAAAAAGCCTCACAGCCCTCACTGTTTTTGTTCGATGATATTTTAAAATTATTCTCGGGCAACAAAATATATACTATCTATTATCTATCCTGTAAATAGAAATAGAATAAATCATAATACTTTTAGATTTTATCTCCCATTATCAAAAATAAATAATACTTTTTTATAATTATTTTTAAAATATTTTTAAGAATAGTTCTCATCTCTTATCAATTTTAACTTATCACTTTTATTTTTATGTTAAATTGTACTTTAAATTATATATTACACAGCTCAAATCTAATATATAAATTTGATAATTATAATTAATAACTAAATTATATATTAAACATGTTAAATTTATTATATATAATTCAAATTGATAATAATAAATAAATCTTATATTTAAATATATATATATATATAAATTATATAGTTATATATTTAAAATTTATGTGAATAATTTATATTATATTTAATTATTAATCATTTATTTAAAATATTAAAATTTATTTTATAAATAAACTAAATAATAAGTTTAAAAAAAATCCTAAAATCCTTTTTTAAAAAATGTCTAAAAATATTTTTATCAAAGAAAAAACTTTTAAAAATGTTATCTTATAAATTAGTCATTCATATTTAATGTGTGTTTAAAATATTTATTTAAATAATATATTCTTGTCTTTGATTAAAATATTTGCTCTAAAATATTTTATTTAAATAATATATTCTTGTCTTAAAACCTTATTCATTTATTCTATGAATGACATGTTTTAAAACAACTTATCTTATAATATCTTCTATATTATCATTTCATTCTATATTATCAATTATCCATAAAAGAATTTATTTTAATTGGTGTAACTTCAAACCATATAAATAAATTTGAACTAAAATAAATAAACATAACTTAATTAGTGTTAATAAAAGAAAATAACTTAATTTTTTATAATAATAAATTGGATTCTAAAAACATATTTTTAAAATTATGAAAGAGATACCAACTTGGATTAGCATGAGTGTTGAGAGATTTGTGTTACTTAACCAAGTAATCAGAATTTGAATTCTAACTCTTACGAATGTAGAAAACTCAAGTTAAGAGGATATATCTACATATTTGATGTGTCAAACTCTTAAAAGGAGATTGTCTCCTATTTGAAGGATTTTTGTTAAACCCAAAAAAACCATAAAAGAGATGATGTGAAGGAAAAAAAAAGCTTTGAAAGTGAATTATTATATTTAGATGTTTCAATGTAAATTAATGTCATTTATTATATTTAAGCAAAAATCTTTTCATATATAAAACAAAATAATTTTTATTATTTTTTGTCGCTTAAATTGTCATATTATAAAACACAACAATTATACAAATTCTTCAAGAGTGTCTTTGAATGCCTATTTGCTTTCTTGTATTTATATAACAATTATACAATTTTTTTAGTAATCACTTCTCAATATCTATATTCTCTATATACATATTTTTCACTTTAACAATTTTTTAAAATAGTAACTTTGAATGCCTATTCACTTTCCTATGTGTATTATTACACATCTACTATTTGAATGTTTATGCACATCTCTTTTATCATTATATATAAAGATATCATGATTTGATTCAATTATTTTACTATTTGACTAATTTTTTATTATGAATATATTTTATAATATGTGAATTTTATATATACTTTCTCTATATTATATATAATTATTGCATATCAATATGTTTGATGTTAAACATGACTTATACTTTTTTTGTCTAGGAAAAAAATTATATTATTTGTACTTTATTGATTTTTATATGAATTAATTATTTATACACTACTAGTATAAAAAATTTTACACTGACAACAAATCATATCTTTTAAAGTTTCTTATTTTATTATTATTTCATTAAATAAACAACTGACATGACACTATTAAAAGATATGATTAATTGCTAGTGTAAAAAAAACTTTACATTGACAATGTATAAGTGATTAACTCTTTTTATATTATCATTCCCAAGATAGTCGCTCTTTTAGAAATGATTGAGGTATATGTTAAAAAAAATCTAAAACATTTAATCAATGAGATTGACTTACTCTAATTCTAATATATATATTTGAAAACACATTTGTTATGATTGTAAATTAGGTGAAGTTAATTATCCGAAGGAAACAAAAACTTTCAAACTTGAAAGTCATCTTTGTCAATGTACCCAAAGAGTTAGACACAAGTTGTTAATACGTTAAACCAATATCAAATCGTCAACATTTTGTGTAATTTTTTTTTAATCTAGGAAATCAGACTCAGATACCGAAAGTTTAAATCCTAAACTCGGACCCCGAACACTAATCAGTTACTATATGCTAGACATAGGTAAATAATTAGCTTGAATCAACAAGTTGAAGGCTACGAGCAAAAATTCCGAAACCGTTCAAGAATAATCCAATTTAATATATATAAAGGCTGAAGCAATGATTCACCATGAGTGAAATTGAAACATCCTGTTCTCAAGTACTGGATTCATCAAGCACAGAAGACTCAGTACTGCCTGTTGTTCACTACAGAAGATTCATCATGTAAACTTTCATGGAAATTACCAAGAGTCTGATTCAAGAACCCGACGTTAAAGGAATGCACAGTGCTAGGACTCAATCCTCACCCTAATCCTGCAAAAAAAATATAATGAAAATTGAAGCATCGCTTACAATATTACTTACTACTCGTGAAAACATATAAAGATAATGGTGTGAAATATAAACAGATCAACGGGAGGTGCTAGTTTTCTCTACAGGAGTAGTACTTTTACGTGGTTCAAATATTTCTATATTTTAATGGATATTTAGTACTCCCTGTGCACTCAAATAAGGGGAGCAAATCCTATAATAAGCAAATTTTAACTAATTTTACCTTAATAATGTTATCATCTTCAAAATTCCCTTCATTTAAGACTATTTCCAACGACCCTTATTCTTGATATCAACTTTCAATGAAGAGCAATAAGGAAATAAGTTTATTTTTAATTATGATAAACAAAATTAAATAATTAACTATCTAGTTTAATTATCACATAAGTTAGTAACTAAATAATTTTAACTATCTATCTGAATTAACGCATAAGTTAATTAATTAAATAATTTAACTATCTTAATTAACACACTAACGCACAAGTTAATACTGTTCACAGTTATCACATTTGGTTATGACGGCCAGAAAATGTCACATGATTACTGGCATGACATCTGCAAAGCCAAAATGCTATGCGACAGAACTTCTGTAGTGGCTTTTTTACAGTGCTATCATGTGTTATCAATTACTATGTCAAACATGGCCTTTACTAGTGTACAAATTCTTCAATCCACAAACCCTGAACAAAAAAATGTGCTAATCTTTATATAAAAAAGATGCTCTGCTTGGTCCATAGCCCCAAATTCAAAGTCAAAACAGAAATAACAAGAAACAGGGACTCAAACAGGGTATGGCCTGAAACAGATCCTTGGGGTGATGAGATTGAGGTAAAAGGTAGCAGGCATGGCTTGAAAGGCTGAAACAGACTCAAGCCTGTAAAGGGACCACATGTATCATGTATGCACCGCCATGTGCTGAAATATGGTTGCACAGGTGATGGCCAAACAAAGAAAAGGCAGGTAACAAGAATCTGAAACGGGGAAGAGTCCACAGACTCACTAGAATATTGGTTGAAGTTAAAACAAAACAATGATTCAGTACATTGGGCAGCATCTGCTTATATGTTCAAAATGGCTCTGATAAAAGCATAGTTATAGCACAATAGATAACTACAGCAAACAAACAGAATACATATGCATTGCGGAGGAATGATTTGTCACCAAGATATAGAATAAAGTTGACAAACATATAACAAAGTGGACACATACCTCTTCTCGTGTATTATTAGATTCACCATCATCTTGACCTTTATCATCATGAACCACATCCCCATGTTTATCCACAGTTATCACATTTGGTTATGACGGCCAGAAAATGTCACATGATTACTGGCATGACATCTGCAAAGCCAAAATGCTATGCGACAGAACTTCTGTAGTGGCTTTTTTACAGTGCTATCATGTGTTATCAATTACTATGTCAAACATGGCCTTTACTAGTGTACAAATTCTTCAATCCACAAACCCTGAACAAAAAAATGTGCTAATCTTTATATAAAAAAGATGCTCTGCTTGGTCCATAGCCCCAAATTCAAAGTCAAAACAGAAATAACAAGAAACAGGGACTCAAACAGGGTATGGCCTGAAACAGATCCTTGGGGTGATGAGATTGAGGTAAAAGGTAGCAGGCATGGCTTGAAAGGCTGAAACAGACTCAAGCCTGTAAAGGGACCACATGTATCATGTATGCACCGCCATGTGCTGAAATATGGTTGCACAGGTGATGGCCAAACAAAGAAAAGGCAGGTAACAAGAATCTGAAACGGGGAAGAGTCCACAGACTCACTAGAATATTGGTTGAAGTTAAAACAAAACAATGATTCAGTACATTGGGCAGCATCTGCTTATATGTTCAAAATGGCTCTGATAAAAGCATAGTTATAGCACAATAGATAACTACAGCAAACAAACAGAATACATATGCATTGCGGAGGAATGATTTGTCACCAAGATATAGAATAAAGTTGACAAACATATAACAAAGTGGACACATACCTCTTCTCGTGTATTATTAGATTCACCATCATCTTGACCTTTATCATCATGAACCACATCCCCATGTTTATCATCAACATTATCCAACATTATATTATCATTCAAGCTCTTTAAATCTTCAGGAAGCTGGCCAGACTTCAATGCCTGTTATCATGTACAACGATTAGATGTACTGCTTTATAACAAACCCTTTCACAATTAAATGATATCAGTTTACACCATTGTAAGTTAAAATCATTCTTACACCATTATATAACTTATTGTTAATAATTTAATTATAGAACCTAGTGTGAAATGATGGAAACCCAAAAATGGGTAGGTTATTTCAAAATAGAAGAAAATAGAGATTGGCAGATTAATCTACTGCCTCCCTCTACCAGAGCATTGGCTCTGGTTACAATCCAATAAAATTTCTCCAATCCTCTCTCTCTCTCGAGCTACTCTATATTTATTCCCCTCTCCCTCGACTAACTCCCTAAAATTGTTAAAGGAAGATAAATCATAAAAATAAGCTATGATAACAAAATTCAGATAACTAAATCCTAGAGATAAGTTGTGGTAACATAACTCAAATGATAAATCCGGAAGACTAGCTATGATAATAAATTCAAATATCATAATCCTAAAGATAAACTACGATACAAAAATTCAAATGACATAATCATACACTAGATTTGCTACTTTGAATTGGGTTCTATCATTGCCCTCTCCTATGATATCAGCCTTGTCCTCAAGGTTGAAATAAGGGAGTTGGCCATGGATAGCTTCCTCAATGGGCCTCATCTAGCTATTCACATTCTCTTGTTCCTCCTCCATGTTGCACTTTACCAACTCGATCTCACCCTCTCCATTGATAACTTCATCTTCAGCAAGCAAGGTGAGTCCGACTTGTCTATTTGGGCATTGATGCATAGGATGACATCGTTGACCACAACAATAACATAACCCGTTCTTCCTCCTGTCTAACAATTCTTGAGAAGTTAGGTTGCGGGTTCCCCTACTCACGTCTATAGGACGTTGGTTATTGTCAACCTCTGAAACCTAACTTGTGTGACTTGGGTTCAGGTTTTGAATTTTGGGAGTTATACCTATGTTGAAAGGTGGGATGAGAAGAGGAAGAAAACGAAGTCTCAGACTTGATGGCAATTCAATTCAGCATTGAGCATCGATTTTAAACCAAAACCTTTCACATTGCTATGTACCTCCCCATATATAGTGTACATTCCACATCTCGAGCTAGAGAGATAGCCTTATTAATCGTCTCAAGATGGTGAAGATGCACCCATTGTCTAATTCCAAGCTTTAACCCATGCATAAAATATCTAATGACATGTGGTACAGCTAGGCAAACGACTTGGAAAGACAAATTCAAACTCTTCAATAAATTATGCAATGGGACACTCCTGTGTAAGTGCAACTCGTTCATTAACTTCTCCTAGGACACCTTAGATGACCCATCACATTACAAGGAAAACCAATGAGCAACGTGTCCCTCCATCAACAATTGAGCGAGAGGAATTTTCATCTTTGGTGGGGTACCCTGCACCTGAAAATACATCTTTACTAGAAAAAGCCAACTACGTGGATCCATACCATCAAAGGAAGCCAATTCAACTTTCCTTCTTGTAAGTTGATAGTCATCGGGAACACCTAAAGGGGGAAAGGGCACGGCAACCCAGTGGGACTGATTATTGTTTTGTTTTAACCACCTAGTGATCATGGAGCAGAACTTGATGTTTAAATAACTGTTAAAAACAATTTATTTTGTATAGGTTGTTCAGCTTTTCAAAAGTTGATTTTTGGCCCTATCTGTCAAAAAGGGAAGTAGGCTCATAAGCTGAGTGTTTCTTTTCTGATTAATGTATTTTGTTTATATATATATATATATATATATATATATATATATAAAAACCCCAGTTGAGAGTGGGCTCAGCATCTTTTTGCCTCAACATCTTTTAGCCAAGATTTTAAATTTAACTTGGTATTAGAGCGGGTCCAATCCCGCTCTGTTGTCCCTCCCTATCCGACGTTCGTCGCTGTTGGCGACCTTAAGATTTGGTGCGCCTCGTTGAGCGCAACCCAATCCTATTGGTTTTGGGGACAGAGGAGATCTCACGCACCCGCACGCGCCGCTCCAGTCTTCTGCCTAGTCACGCGCGTGTGATTCATGTGCCGCTTTCTGTTCGTCGGAGCTCCGCTGCTGTCACTGTTGTGGTCGTCCACTCCTTCTGAGTCTGTTCCAGCCCTCAATTCAAGGTTTTGGGTGGCTATTTGAAACGCAAATATTGTTCATCTTCTTCTCCTCCTTCTTTGTCAAGTGTAATGTCCTCCGCAGGCCCTGTTTTTCCCTTTGCTGGTACTCCCACCATCACTACTGCAAAGCTGAACTGGAAAAATTATTTGTCTTGGTCTGCCTCAGTGGAGTTATGGTTTCTTGATCAAGGATATCATGACCACTTGGAGAAGGAAGTTAGTGACATTCCCACTGAACATAAATCTCAGTGACAGAAACTTGACTTCCAATTATGTGTTGTCCTATGGCAATATGTTGAATCTGAGGTGCTAGAGATACTCGGGTCATTTAAGACATGTTCATTTTGGAAGGAAGTCCAAGATATTTTTGCTAATGACATTCAACGTCTTTTTGATGCAACCTAGAGAGTAGCTTCTCTCAAACAGACCAACCATGATATGATTTCACATGTAGCAAAGGCTCGGGCTGCAATAGAAGAACTGAAAAAATTTCTTGTGGCTGACTCATTGGAGGGTGTCAACAAAAAGCTTGATAAGTTATATATGGTTATGATTTTGAGAAGCTTACATTCAAATTTTGATCATGTACGTGATCAAATTTTGGCTAGAGATCATATCCCTTCCATGGACAGCTTAGTTATTAGCCTTCTTCGTGTTCCTAACTTGGTGAAGGATGAGAACATAGCTGAAACTATTGAGACTTCAGCAATGGTAACATCTCATGGAAGAGGAGGACGTAGTAGTCGAGGAGGACGTAGTGGCAGAAGTGGACGTCCTCGGTGTACATACTGCAAGAGAATGGGTCATACACAAGAAAACTGTTATTCTTTGCATGGTTTTCCTGACAAGACAGCCCATGTGTCAAAATCTGAGACATCATGCTCCAAGTTTTCTGACGAGGAGTACCAAGATTATCTAAGGCTCAGGTCAGAAAGATCTAACAGTTAGGCCCAATCTTCTTTTGTGCCAAGTGTTTCAACAGCATGTATTTCTCAATCTGTGGAAGGTCATGGTCCATGGATACTTGACTCAGGTGCTTCTAACCATATTTCTGGTAACAGTTCCTTATTTTCACTCCTTTCTTCTCCAAAACTTCCTCATCTTGTTACTGTAGCCAATGGGTCCAAAATTGCATCACAAGGAATTGGTCAAGTTCCTTTGTCTCCTTTGAAATTGAATTCTGTTTTGTTCATCCCTCGTTGTCCTTATAACTTAATTTCTCTAAGCCAATTGACTCGTTCATTAAATTGTTCAGTAACATTTGATGCTAATTCCTTTGTCATATAGGAACGTGGTACAGGTCGTCTGATTGGTGAAGGACATGAATCATGAGGTCTCTATTACCTAAAACCAACCCACCTATATCCTGTTTTGCAGTCTCAACACCAAAGCTTTTGCATGATCGTTTGGGTCACCCAAGTTTAGCAAAATTGAAGATAATGGTTCCTAGTCTCAAATCACTTCCAAGTTCCAACCTTGAAATGTGAATCGTGTCAATTAGGAAAACATGTTAGGTCATCATTTCCTAAAAGGACTGAACAAAGATGTAACTCGGTTTTTTCTACCATTCATTCAGACATTTGGGGACCAAGTCGTGTCACATCTTTTGGTTTCAAATATTTTGTACTTAGGTTTATCTAATGAAAGATCGTTCTGAACTTTTGTCTATATTCATATCTTTCTTTAATGAGATTAAGAACCAATTTGGCAAGGTAATTAAAATCTTCAGAAGTGACAATACTAAAGAATATTTTTCTGTTGAACTTTCTCTCTTTTTATCCTCACAACGTGTTTTGCATCAATCTACATGTCCCCACACACCACAACAAAATGGCATAGCAAAGAGGAAGAATAGACATCTTATTGAAACTGCACACTCCCTAATGTTGAATATAAATGTTCCTATACATCATTGGGGAGATGCAGTTCTCACTACTTGTTTTTTAATAAATAGGATGTCATCTTCCTCTCTTGAAAATCAAATCCCTCATTCTATCATTTTTCAAAACAATCCTCTATTTCATGTCTTTCCTCGGGTGTTTTGGTTGTACTTGCTTTGTTCATAATGTCTCTCCAGGTTTGGACAAACTTCCTGCAAAGGCTATCAAATGTGTTTTTCTGGGATATTCCCGTCTTCAGAAAGGATACAAATGTTATTCTCCCACTACCAATAAATATTATATGTCTACTGATGTCACCTTCTTTAAGGACACCATTTTTCTCACCCTCCATAGACAGCCCTGTTTCCGTTCAAGATTCTTCATGTCCCATTCCCTGATCCGATTATGATTCCTTCTAACACCAACCAAGTGGAGAATCAATCTCAATCTCATACTCATGATCTAACTGAAGACTCTCGTGACTCTGATCCTTCTCCAACAACTTCCCATACTACGAGTCCTTCATCTTCCATGCCATCCCATGACTCCAATTCAGATTGGCCCATTGCTATTTGAAAAAGTAGTTGGTCTACTCGTAATCCTCATCCTATTTATAATTTTTTGAGTTGTCATCGCTTGTCTCCTTCATACTCTTCTTTTGTTTTTTCCTTGTCATCCACTACTGTTCCTAAAACTATCAATGAGGCACTTGATCATCCATGATGGCGACAAGCCATGATTGATGAAATGCAAGCTCTTGCACACAATGACACATGGGAGCTTGTCCCTCTACCTCCTGGGAAGAAGCCTGTCAGTTGTAGATGGGTCTATGCTGTTAAAGTTGGCCCTAATGGTGAATTTGATCGCCTTAAAGCTCGGTTGGTAGCCAAGGGCTACACCCAAATTTATGGCCTTGATTATGGTGATACCTTTTCTCCCGTGGCTAAGATCACCACAGTTAGACTCTTCCTTGCTATGGCAGCTATTCGTCATTGGCCACTCCACCAGCTTGACATTAAAAATGTCTTCCTCCATGGTGATCTTGAGGGGGAGATTTATATGGAGCAACCTCCTGGATTTGTTGCTCAGGGGGAGTGTGATTTAGTTTGTAAATTGCATCGGTCTTTGTATGGCTTAAAATAATCACCCCGAGCTTGGTTTGGTAAATTCAGTCATATTGTGAAAAATTTTGGATTAGAACAGAGTGAAGCATATCATTCCGTGTTTTATTGTCATTTTGCTGGAAAGTGTGTTTATTTAATGGTCTATGTTGATGATATCGTTATTACAGGGAATGATGCTACTAGAATTTCTCAACTAAAAGAGCACTTATTCATCTATTTTCAGACTAAAGACCTTGGTAGTTTGAAATACTTTCTTGGCATTGAAGTGGCTCAATTGAAGGAAGGTGTTGTAATTTCACAAAGGAAATATGCTCTTGATATTTTAAAGGAAACAGGTTTGGAAAATTGCAGACCAATTGATAGTCCAATGGATCCGAATCAAAAGCTAATGATGTACCAAGGTGAAATTTTTCTAGATCCAAAGAGATACAGGAGGCTAGTGGGAAAACTCATTTATCTCACTATTACAAGACCTGATATTTCATTTGCAATTGGAGTTGTTAGTCAAATCATGCAAAACCCTCACATTGATCATTGGAATGCTGTGATTCGCATTTTGAGATATATTAAAAGTGCTCCAGGACAAGGATTGTTGTATGAGGACAAGGGAAACACAAGTTTTAGGGTATTGTGAGGCAGATTGGGCTGGCTATCCTATAAATAGGAGACCCACCACAGGATATTGTGTTCATTGGAGAAAATATTATCTCTTGGAAGAGCAAGAAACAAAGTGTTGTTGCCTGGTCTAGTGCGGAGGTTGAATATATAGATCTATGGCTTTGGCTACTTGTGAACTTGTGTGGATCAAACAACTCCTTCAAGTTAAAATTTTGCGAAATTAAGCTTATGAAATTATATTGTGATAATTAAGCAGCCCTTCACATTGCTTCCAATCCGGTGTTTCATGAGAGGACCAAACACATAGAAATTGATTGTCATTTCATTCGGGAGAAACTACTGTCCAAGGAACTTACCACCAAGTTTATCAGCTCTAATGACCAGCTTGCAGACATTCTAACTAAGTCTTTAAGAGGACCCAGGATTCAATTTATATGTTCCAAGCTTGGTGCTCCAACTTGAGGAGGAGTGTTAAAAACAATTATTTTGTATAGGTTGTTCAGCTTTTCAAAAGTTGATTTTTGGCCCTATTTGTCAAAAAGGGAAGTAGGCTCATAGGTTGAGTGTTTCTGATTAATGTATTTTGTTTATATATATATATATATAAACCCTAGCTGAGAGTGGGCTCAGCATCTTTTTGCCAAGATTTCAAATTTAACTATAACGTTCAACCTCATTTACTTATGTTTCCTTGATAAAAGATTGCTGGAGATCAGCAACCAAGGACTGCATCTCCTGAAATTGGGCTTCTAGAATTGTGACTTTCGAGCTCAATGCATCGACCTTAGAAACCATGGTGAGCTATCCAACAAGTCGGACCAATGATGAAAATCCAAAAATAGGCGGCTACTAATAGAGATTGACAGATTAATCTATTGTCTCCCTCTCCTGGAGCACCTGCTCAGATTACAACCCAATAAAATTTCTCCAATCCTCTCTCTCTCTCTCTCTCTCAAGCTACTCTATATTTATTCTCCTCTCCCTCAACTAACTTCCTAAAACTGATAAAAGAAGATAAATCCAAAAGATAAGCTATGATAACAAAATTCTAATAACATAATCCTAAACTAAATCCTAAAGATAAGCTGTGATAAAAGAATTCAAATGATAAATCCTAAAGATAAACTATAATAACATAATTCAAATGACATAATCATAAACTATACTTGCTACTTTGAATTGGGTTCTATCAGAATTGAACATGTCTATAATATAGATCAAACCTATAAAATCTTGCATTAATCCAAGATTATCAAGTATTTCATTGATATACATCAATATTAACATGGTATGTATATTGAAATATATTAAAATAAGAACTGCAAAATGATATTCTTATTATTAGAGAATAGAATAATAAATACTTTTATTAACTGTATTGAGTTAGTTTTCCATAGTCAGTTTCAGTGTAAATCATTACGTTAGTTAGCCGTTTCAGTTTTGTCTATATATGTAGTTTGTATCTCTTGAATATGCACCTTAAGATTCATCAATAATACAATTTTCTAAATTCTCTAAACTCTCTCTATCTCATACTTATACACAAACAATCAAAGTAACGAAGATTTATAATTCAACTATTTGACCAATAAAAACCATATTGAAGTTATTGAATGGTTCAACAATGCTATGTCTATCACCAATGTAAACTGATCCCTCAATTTAAATTAGAAAGTCGAAAGACATGAGAATTTTTAATTTTGAAGACGTAAGAATCTGAAGTACAGATGATAACAAATCTAATAAGTCATGACAATCTCCCCTCTTTTCCCGAACCACTACAAAGAAGAACTCCTCAATTTATGACAAACCAAAACCAATCTAACACGCATGGAAAATAATCCAGCCTACATATTCCATGCCAATAATTAGCAAATGATGACAAAAATTGAGAACATGTCAGTGCTTTTGAGCTCCAATGGCACATGAGACATTTCGTAGGAGTCTCCCATCAGATCACCCATCTAACACTGGTTAAACATGAGTATGATGCAAACAAAATTTAAAATCCAAGAAGTGATTATCTAATTTAGAAAATTAAGCACCTTTTCAAGTCTAGCAACCTCTTCAAGTGTCTGAGAATTGACAATGGCAGCCTGCATAAAGTAGAAACATTCCAAACAATAAGCAACCAAAATTAGCTGCATGATCTACCAGCTTCCAAGAGAAAGAAACTCCGTAGTTTCCTAATGATGATTTCTTAGCTGAAGATAATATCACAAGATCATGAAAGGTGATCTATGAAAAAGTAGGTATTGATATCTAACAGCATATTTCTAACTTGTCGAAATAAAGCACTGTCAAATGGTTAATTTTAAAGCTCTTCGAGTTGGGTACTGGTTAATTTAAATAAAGAAATATTACTCAGATATTCACAGTATTTACATGCAAGAAACTAAGTGGAATTAACTAAATCAATGTATTTTTTTCCTGTTCAATGAATTACCAAGTTTTATTCATTCAACAAAATACAGAGCAACAAGTACTGTGGGTCAAATCCTTTGTCCAGACCATGGCATTTAATAAAATTGATAGTTTAATGCAACTATTGCATGTCGTAGATAACGTGACTAGTTATACTTTAGACCACTTGTTTTTAAAGTATAAGGACTTCGGAATACTCTCCAATGCTTTGTTGTAAAGTTATGGTAGAAGCAAGAAGAAAATCTTCTCATCTAGAATTTTTAGCAAAGTATATCAAATGCATAAAAGGGAGAATGCATTAATAGATATGAATTGAGGAATGCATGATGGGTGTGTCACATGTTCAACCCTACAGTGATAAGCCTTGAATAATTTGATGAGTTAAACTATCATTATACCTTAATAGCAATAATTTGCTCAGGTGTGGGAGCAACCCCTTTAGGTGTTTGTTGTTCCTCAGTTGCTTCTGAAACATTTGGAGTTTCACCAAGTGAAAGTGATTTTGCTGGGGTCCTTTGAATTTCTTCAATAACTTCTTTTGAGTCAAACAAGTTTTTGGCTTCCAATCGCTCCTATTAATTGAAGAAACTATCAAAAGAAAGAAATAAAATTGAAGGGCATGTGTAATTGGAAACAAGAAATAGATATAATAATATACCCGCATTTTCCTTTTCTCAAAAACCATGCACCCAAATTCTGGGTAGAATTTGAAGTCATTCAGTCTATGAAAGCTTAAGCAAAACAAGGGCTAAAGCAGCCTGGTAAAAGATTGTTTCATAATTAATTTTAATATATACTAAATTTCATATTAGAATATTTATTATAAATTTAATATAAAATGATTCTAAATTCTAATAGGAGAATATTTATTATAAATTAAAATATATAAATTATAAAACAATTCTAATTGCAAAATATTTATAATAAATTTTAATATTATTCTATTATGACAAGTTTTAACATTAACCATGCATTTTATGCTCCTAGACTTATGGTTTTTAGTTATAAATAACGAATGTGTTTTAATGTCTTTTTTAAATTGTATAAATTATTTTTTATAAAGATCATGAATCTTACAATTCACGATACAAATCGATTCGGAATTCAAAAAATAAGATTTCCAATACACGATTTGTATCCCAATTCAACTACCATGGTGTTCGGTACAACCCAGTGGTAGTTCTGTTTCTCAAGTTTAAGATGCAGATTTTGTGATTGAATCCAAACATTATCAGAACATCCTATCTTTCATACTTCAAACAAGCCAATAAAATCTACGTAGTGAAAAGGAAAAAAAAAATTACCTTATTTTTCACTTTCTTGAAATCTAAAACCCGGAGGGATTTCAGCTTGTTAATAACATAAAGTCTGTAATTTGCTTTCTTTGTAATATTGTTGTCTAGCAGACTAAGGAACTGCAGCTTTGGAAGGGATGCTAAAGGATCAATTTCTACCAAGTTCACAATTCTGTTGTTTGTGAGAATTAGTGTGTGTAATTTAGGCAAAAACTCTGCAATACAAATGGCACAGTAAGCCAGAAAATCACATTGTATAGCTTACAACTAGAAGGAAAGAGGTCACTAATGGAAAGAGGATGTGCAGTTCAAAGTTTAAACTGTACCTCCAATGTTGGGATTAATTCTAGTAACCCTATTGTTATTAATAAGCATTGTACCCAAGCGGTTAAGATGTGGCACATTTTCCAGTTTGACAATCTCATTGTCAGATAAATCTATGGTGTCAAATTGGTCCTGCAAGAAATCCATTAGAAAGAAACTCAAATTTACGAACACCAAGATGAACAATTATTATGTTTGTAATTGAAGCATATAAACATGGAATCATAATAATATATCTTTCACATGAAAAGAAGCCTCAACAATATAAGAGGAAACTAAAAGGAAGGCAAGAAGATTAAATTTTCCACCTCAGTAGCACCTAAGTTTTCAATTACAGCTATCTTGTTACCTGCCAATAATATGATAAACATGTTATCAAAGACAATTAGAGAAGAGAAGAGAGAGATGGAAAGTATGCAGGAGATACAAATACCTCGAAGATCTAACTCACGCTCTTTAATTGCATTGTAGAAATGAGGACTTTTCCATATTAAGTCAGCAGTGAGCCTCACCATCTCTTCTACTCAGTCCAAAAGGAATAGATAGTATTGACTGCAAGAATGGTGACTTCAAGTACTAACCCTTGATCAAATTACACAAAGTGTGTTCTTACAAAGCAAAAACAATTTAACAGCCACAGAAAGAATATTCAATCCTTAATAAAACTGCAAAGGGCAAGCCACCAAAGGTGATGCTACCAATTCTCTAAGAAATGTGTTAGAATAGCTTGTTAAGAAAGCTTCTCAATATTTAGGTCTTTTGTTGTACTTTTCTGATTGTATTTTGATTTTGATGTGATAGATTAGGCTTTTATTCTTTTTGGTTTTGTGTATTTTCTGTAAACACCTCACCCTAAATATATATATATATATATAGAAATAAACAGATCAGCGCTGAACACCGTTTTTTACCAAAAACATCTCTCTCGATATTTAAGTAAATGAAAACGAGAAACATAGCCCAAAACAACATCTTGCTTGGCTAGTTGGTGATGGCACAATGATTGGAAAAGTCAGAAAGTCAAGTGCTAATGCCCAGCTCCCATTCCTCCCCCAAAGGAAACCCTAAGAGAAGACCATGCTACCAGCCCTAGCTGACACCGAAGCCAAGGGAAAGAAAGCAGAAGGGACACCAGTATGCCTACTTAGCAGTTCCTCGTAAATAAAGATGCCGAGAGTAAGAGAGAAAGATGTCAATGCTGGGCTAGGAAGACCCACCAAAAAAAAAAAAACAAACAAACAAATGCACGAAAAGCTTTGATTGCGAAGGAAAACAATGCCCACATGGGAGGGAAGGCCAATGATCATTGTGAAGCTTCAATTGGAGGAATTCCAGCAAGCAGAGATATACAAAGCATATTCTCCAACTGAGAGAAAAAGCAGACAAACAAAGGAGAGAAGGAAAAAGAAAAGCACTTTTTGTATCGATTTAACAAATCATAAAGAATAAAGAAGAATCCTCCTCCCAAGTTTCCCTGTCTGCAACCAACCCACTCGTCCTTTTACAAATTAACAAATCTAGCTGCCTCTCTTCTGCCCATCCGAAAATTAAAGCTACTAACACTTTCATAAATATTCTAAGTACTATCTGAATTATGAACGCCTTAGTAGTTAGAATACAAGATAACAGAGGGAGATATATATATATATATATATGGAACAAGTACAATATGTGA